GAGAAATAAACAATACTGACAGGTGACAGATGCCTGAGTTGTAGCAGAATGGTCTCTACATCTTCATGAATAATTTCTCTGCCTTTCATGTTGCCAGTAAATTACATTTATGCATTCACAACCAGGTGATTGGGCAAAAAAAGACACAACTAGCAGCCAAGCCTGCCAGACTTCGTTGAATATATCGCACACCCACAGCTGCATCCAACGCAGGATGCAAGCAGAGACAGACTGTGATCATTCCACCTGTAATACATCTGAACTCTATTTCTTCCCCCACAGCCCTCGGTGTAATTGATTCTGCCTCGCAGATTTTATCCACAATCAGCCCAGTTGGTTTCCTTGCCCTTTATATTAATTCCTAATATAATCCATGTTATGTGATTTAATGTTATCAGTTAATATTTTTGGGCTTCCTGTTCGGTAGGAAAGTGTTGAAACACAGAAACTGGTTCAACAAACACGACAAATATGAATATGTTTTCATCCAAATCATCACTGTTGAGGAAGACTTTGCAGTCTTTGAAGTCTTGCTTATGTGCCTTGATCTGAATGTCAGGATAAAGCAAATGTCTCATGCAAGTGTTTTGTTTACTCCCAGTATAAATGTGTGTAATTTCCTCTTTGGAAAAACTATATCATATGATCATTAAATACAGTTAAAAACAGCAAAGTAGTCTCAGAGTTGTTGTTTTTTTTACTCATTTTTGCTCCTAATACTTGCGGTAGTTTCTCTGGAGCATCTTTCCATTCAGGGCCTGCAGGAATCGCTTTCTTTCACCAAACACAATGGTTTCACAAGGAATTTGTCTCGGTGAATTTGCGCTGACATGCTGCAACACGGTTCCACAGTACAGGATTAACTGACACGCAGGATAAAAAAAAAACCCACACATGGTGAAAAAACATAGAGTATGAAATTAAATTCAAAACTAAGAAACTGTACCAGTGTGACATCAGGTTTAAAGATTAAATATGCACCAACAACACATCAAAGCACTAATGCGATGATATAGTGTTGTGAATAATGTAGTTTATCATGTTTGTGATTTGAAAGATATTACACGCTCATTTTCAACGCCTTAACATGCTCCAAAACACTTTTCCTGTAATCTAAAAGGAGACCAGTGTCACAAAACCTCATATATATTTTTTTTTTACAATTATCGTATTGTTATGCAAACAGAACTTTTCTCTATTCAGACTAGATTTGACAATACACTGTTGAAGAACCGTGATAGACAGAGAACGAGTATATTATATAAAAGCCAATGCCAGCCGACCATCTAAAAAGCCAGATATGGTGGAGACCAAAATGGAGCTAAATCAAATGGAATTTTGGATTTACATTCATCAGGTGGCCAGAAACACAACTTCTAATGAGCACTAATGTTACTGGCTGTACTGTGAAATAGGCAACTGTTAACTACAATGTTTGTCTCGTGAATGTCAGCTTACTTCAGTTGCCCCCAAGTGGCCGTAGAATATCACTTTCACTATCACTGCAGCTTTGAAGGTCCTGCACTGAAACTATGTGGTCTGAATGACACCAGTTAGTAAAGTGATACACGCAAAACATCCATCATTAGCTCCCACTCAAATTATACCATGGTTTACGGCTTAGAAATATACAGGACATTCTGTGCATGCTAAACACCGTGTACACAGTTGCCCTTTTAAACCAACAGAAACATAACAACCTAGCAACATAAGACATGCCTTTTGGTCTCCTCGTTTGTTTTACTGTTGCGATCGAGAAGCAGTTACTATTGATCGGCTTTAATAGAAGTGAAGTATGGATGGCATGAGGAGCTCACACAAAGAGATCTATTCTCCTTTTCTTCGTGTAAATGTGAGGATCATTTGGGGGGAAAAGTTAGGCTCTGCAGAGATGAATGAAATCAATAAAGCGCAGAGTCCTCACAGAAAGAGAGGTAACTCTGCATCGACTACAGGCTGCTCACTCACTCAATCAGATTAAATAATGAAGCAATTATCGATCCAAATTCTGGCTGCTGGCCGGCACAGGACTGGCCATTAAGTGGATCTTCCCCTCCCTTGGCCATGCTGAAAATGTCAGGGTCACTGTGTTCGCTGCTTGACACAGTTTACTGAAGCCCAATCTGTAGGAGACTAATCACTTGTCTGCCTCCCAGGAGCTGCTGTGAAGTGGCCAACACCTCCAAGGGATAGGGGAGGAATTTGATTTTCACAACACCTGAAGAAGAGCCAAACGAACGTGTGCCATATTTTCTGCGTCAACTGGGTGAAAAGGACACATTGGAAAAGAGAACTGACCACCGCAGGTTTGTAAACGAGTAGTGTCCTGTTCAGTAACCTACGCTGTACCGCCATTTCTGGTTACTGCTGTTGTTCCATTCATTCTGACAAAGCTGAATTTCATTATTTTTATACTTGAAACACAGCTATGACAATCAGTGTAGACCTGCAACATGAGCCAGTTGGGGTGGGGGAGGAAAAGAAAGATTTCCTGTCTGCAGCATCTCCCGAATGTCAAAAATATGTGCTTTCATTGCCTGAGTCCGTAGCAATGTGAGGTTGTTTGTTTCCATGCTCGTAGCAGGAGCAGTGTCACAAGATGTCTCACAAGATGTCAAAATAGGAGCGCTCATTCTTTCATCAAATAAATAAAGCTGGAGCCGCTACAGTTCCTCCAATATGACATGATAAATTGTAATTCATTAGTCTGTGTGTAATCTCTTTCTCCAGTCATGGGGGCTGACGGGAAATGGTCTCCTGAGAATACAAAGTAAATCTGAGCTTCAGCTGCCTTCATTCCACTGGAGTTTTAGCACAGCTTTTTCACAGGTTTAGACGTGTTGGTGACATGGTTTTGAGGTTCTGTTTTTTGGTTTTTGGTGTATTTTCAATATGTACTCCTTGACCAGCCTCAACCTGAACTCCCAATTATGACCCAGAAGTTATTGTTTGGGAATTTCACACCACGCTCCAGACTCGGTCATCACTCAGCCTCATTCACTTTCACCGACATGGAAAATAAATTAAAAAAAGCAAAGTAGTTCTCTTTTGCACTCGGCGCACCGAGGCAGGGAAAATATTGCTTTGCGGTTAACTTCTAATCAAATTGCATTAGTTTTTCACAGCCTGTGCCCTCACTCCATTTGCACAAACCATCACGGACCTACATGAATTTCGCACCCAGGGTGAGGAATACTTACTTCTTCACCCCAATAGATTTCCTCCCCCTGCCCAACACACATTGTGCGCAGACGCACACATTTTGTGATCAGACAAGCATGATCATGCAGTTACAGCACAGGAGTAAATCATTTTATTTGCAGCGAGTGTGGTTTAAATGACATTTTACTTGCTCTGGTGTTATTTTTACCAACTTCTGAAATAGACTCGATGAGAGTGTCACTGCTATGACCGTTTTAGAGCGTGGAACAGAAAACAGCCCTCATCTATCGTCACGATCTAATTGTCATCACACGGCAAACCACGACTTGAAACCACGACATGCACGTAAATACAGACACCTATGAGATTACACAGAGCCTTAAACGAATGCACGTGTAGAGAAGTCAGTGCCAAAGCACTCACATCAATCCTAATTATGAACACAGTTATTGTATGGATATTAATTACTGTGGCACTGCTCTTGAATGTGCTCTGTGAAATAAATGAAAAGAAAGAAGATGTGAGAAAGGATTTGAATAATTAATTACAGCTAAATTATTTATGTGGAAATTTCCTCATTATAATTAACCTTGGACCCACATCCTATAGCCTGCTTTACCATGAACCTCCTGTCCTCTGCCTGTGAGGCACAAAGTCATGTGTTGCCTCAAGTCTGGAGCGGGGGCTGTTGAAAGTATACCTCAGTGTGTGTGTGTATGTATACGGGCATGCATCTGGAAGTGTGTGTGTGTGTGTGTGTGCATGTTGGAGACAGCAGAGGTGGAAAGTAGCATTTACATTTACTCAGTTACAGCAGTTACTGTAAGTACAATTTTGAGCTTCTGTCACTCTCAATCTTGGCAGACATCTACTTTTTCTACACTTCAGATGTAGACGCTGTACTTGGTATACTTCACTGCCTTTATGTGATGGATGTGGGTACTACAAGTTACTTTGCCAGATGCAGATTTCTCACTCTGATAAGCTCATCAAATGTCACTGTCGTCAGGTAAAAATAGCGAATGAAAAAAATGAAAAATTCTAAATGTCAACTTCTCTCACGTGTATAGCTTTTTGACATTGAACTGATATTGAATTGAGGAGGAAGGCAATCGTTCAGCTCATCTGGAACAAGTAATCTGCAACTTTAGACAGAATTGATTAATTGTTTAAAAGCAGAAATGATACATCCTTTGGATCCAGCTTCTCAAATATGAGAGTTTGCTGTTTTTCTGACATTTAATAGACCAACTGATCTTCCCATTGATTCATTCAGAAAATAATTTTGAGATTACTGCTAAATACATGTCAATGCAAATATGTACAACTATACTATACTACTAATACAAAGAAGAAGGAGAACAATAATAATAATAATAATAATAATAATTTTTGTAAAGTGCTTTTCTAGACCCTAAGCTCAAGTACTAATATGTACTTTTATGTCAGTTAAGTTTTAAATGCAGGTTTAGGATTCGAGTATTTATTGCACCTCTGCATGAAACAAGTCTGAGATGCAGCTTGATTGAATGTTTCTCCCTGAGTGTGTGAGTGTGTGTGTGTGTGTGTGTGTGTGTGTGTGTGTGTGTGTGTGTGTGAATGTGTGTGTGTGTGTGTGTTTGTGTGTGTGTGTGCGTGTCCTTGAATACAGAGTGAGGGTGCATGTTGGAAAGAGGGAAGGATGGGGGGAAGGAAGAGGAGTTGAAGATGAGAGTAAAGGGTGTGAAAGGGAGGAGGGGGGGTCTAAGAAAAGGGGTGGGTGAACTTGTGTGTGGGAGGATGGTGGCGGGGGGGGAGGGGGAGGCGGAGCTGCAGACAGTATCCCCCGCCCTCGTGCTCGTCTGTGCGCTCCTCGCAATTACCTGTTCCTACTGCACTGATGTGAGAGCGAATTGGCGAGCACATGCCACGTTGAGAGAAGAACATCCGAACTGAACACCAGCAACAGGGGCTCGCGAGGACCATTTGAGTTTAATCCACCTTAAAAAGAAAGAAAAAGAAAACTCCACCAAGTGGTTTAACAAACCTCCGAAACAAGCAGCCGACCGAGGATCTGAGAGACCCGCAAGGATGCACTTGTTGTCCGCCAGCTGCGTGCGTGCCCTCCTCTTCGCCACGCTCCTCCGTCAAGGTAAGCTTTTGTCCCAATATCCGGGCAGCGGTGGCGTTCACGCGGGGTTCGCCCGTGCACTGTAGCCGCAGATCAGCCTACATGAGAGGGGGAAAGTCCCAGCAGTCACACGCAGGTGCTACCGAAACTTCAGCCTGGGTTATCGATCACATTTCCCGGGGAGAAGTGGAGCAGTGACCCTCGTGTATTTTTTGGTTTTAAGTTAGTGAGCTGTAATATAGTTCATGTTACTCGTATCAAGTATCTAGTCATGGATGCTCAATTTATGTGGATATGGTTTGCGTATGAATTTATGCGAGAATAGTCCTTTCTGTATTTTGTATTACAAGTCATGAAAAATTATTCTCTTATTGTTGTTTATTGCTATAAACCACCATATGCCACATATAATGCAGTGGTCATTAGTATCCATGGCAATTGTGTTAGATTATATAAAAAGAAAATCTACATCTAATTATAATGCATGAAATAAAGTCCAGATAAATAAGACCAAGCAGTTTCTTTTAACTTAATTCACCTCAGTACATGTTTTATTACATTTCTGGTCATATCTATAAAAGTTTTGTGTGTATAAACGGCTTATGCGAGATGAAATTGTGTCCATTGTGCCACCCTTTTTTTGTTTGCCCCCCCCCACCACCCCCCCACATGATGGGAGAGGCAGGCAGTGAGGTAGTCATCCTCACCCAGTCCTCACATGTGCTCATGCCATGATGTCATCATGATGCCTCATTCTTATGTGATTTATTTCTGTTAACCAGGCTGTTGAGCAGAATGATGCTGCGTTTACATCCTGTCTGAATTATTGTAATTATGGGCTGCCTGTTGGCTGGGGAGGGGGGGGGAGTGCTCCTGACAGTCTCCCACTAGTAATTGCATGCAGGATTGGATTCATTGTGGATGTGAACAGTTGTAATGGTTTGTCCAAGCAAATAAATAAGGTTCATTGGGTGCGATGTGAATGCAGCAACCCTGCCATTAAGTGGTGTTATTTCAAATTTGGACAATGTATGCTTCTTTTATTGAACAACTCTTAGACCTACTTTTATGCTCGGTGTTTCATGTGCAGAAGGTGTGACTGCCTTTCTCCAGGCTTCATTGTTGTCTGCTCTGTCAGGCCAACAGGTAGCAGCACCATGTGCTCACATCACTCAGCCAGGCCATTAAGCAAAGCTGCAGAGGAGCTCAAAGTACTCCCTTGGAAAGGAGAGGGGTGGAGAGGTTGATCTCACTGTACTCCCTCGTCACACCCCGGTGGCGCCTGTTGTTGAAAATTAACACCATGCAGCACCTATCAGTCAGGCTCAGGTGGTTTATTTGAGAGGAAATGAATGGCCCTTTTAAGGTGTTTTTACACCGCTGTGCCGCTGCAGTGCTGTGTGCTTGAGACAGGAGGAGAGTGCACTGAGTTGGTAATGAGGTTAGACTTTATGGTCGTCCAACACAGCAGTGTGTTTAGTTGGCATGCTGCCTGAAGTGATGGTTGAAACATGTGTGTGTGTGTGTGTGTGTTTGCCTACACAACAGATGGTCAGTCTCGCAAAAACTGAAGGTTTCTCTTGGGCTGTTACAAAACACAGATGTTTGCGATTCTTCAATTTGCTCAATACCGGCTAAAAAATCTGACTGAAAGGCTTTATTGAGTTTGGGATTTGCAATAAAAACTGCATCGATGCTTGTAATAAAAAAAAAAACCAGGCGTGCGTTTATTATATTTGAACTGATGGAAAAAAATAACAGCTCCCGGGGCTTCGTCGGTGAAGGCCGAGCAATGGCTAGAACAGAAAAACAGAGCGCTGAATAACTCTTAGAACAAACAGTCAGAAAGATGCATCTGTTTTTTTTGTTCACTACCTTGTCTCCACCCTTCCCCCACCACCACCACCCCCCCCCCCCCCCCCCCTCCCTCCCTCACCCCCGCCTGAACAGACAGGCATTGCTCGGTGTCACAGCTGGTATTACTTGTCAAGCGAGTGGGGCTCTCCTTTTTGCTAATGGACTAATCTCTTGCGGGGGTCACCCAATTTCACCTGAGATAGATTCTGTCTCCCTTCTTTCATCTTTAACTAGGTTATGTCCAGACCTGCCTCGTGAATGTCGTGATGTTAATGCACAGGAACAGGAAAGAACGGCTTTAATTGTACACTTGAGTTAGACGGGAGATTGTGTACAACTATGTATTTGCGTGCGTGTGCACGTCTCGTCTTGTTTCTAAGTGCTTTCCGTTTGATGTTTGAAGACTGCTTGTGGTTGTTTCTTCTTTGAAAAGAGATGTATCTGTGACTTGTATTGTATCCCCTTCATGCAAAATTCAGATGCATTCATGAGAAGTATGGCAACTCAGCCGAATCATGGCTTTGAATAGAAATGCTGTGTCTTTCCTTGGTGCTATCGCTTTAATACTTACTCTCTTAAAATAGTTTAGTTGCTTCCTGATCGGATTTTGCAAATGGCTAGCTCCAGAACTTAATCAAATCGTGTAATCAAGTTTAACTGTCTGAGTAATTGAGGAAAAACATGAGGTAGTATGAAAATCTGCAGCATTTAAAGATTTGATTATCATGTTTGTGCAAAAGATCTTAAACTAACAAAGGAAACAGAGCTCCTATTAATCCATCGTTCCTCATACTTCTCAGAATTAGAACGCCTAAAATAGCCCCAAATGTATTATTTCTTCCTCAAGCCTTGATCGGAATATGAAATCAGCGGAAATCTAAGCACATGTGCTGTTGATGGAGAAAATAGGGGGGTGGACACTTTCATGGGCGAGGTTGTACTGTAAATTAAAGCAGCATTAGGGTGGGGAGCCCAGTGTCACTTCCCAGCGGGGGGTGGCAGGATTCCTACTAGCACCCCTGGCAGCAGCGCTTTATAGCTGGGATGTGGGGCTCAGGCTTAATTAACGACATGGTAACTTCAGCTTTAAATCACTGATGAATAAAGATAAAGAGGAAGCTACGGGTGACGTATAACTAAAAATAACCTGAAGTTATGATGAAATTAAAACATGGCGGTTACATAGTCTTCGATGCTGCACAAGAGCAGGTTTTTAGTGCAACTCGGAAATTCCATACAAGCTTCGATCATTTAACCGGACAAATCTGTGGATACCACAATTCACAAGAAATTAGGCCGCTGCATCAGCTCGCCCCCAGAGAAATGATGCTTATAACATATGCATCTGGACCATATGGTGTGCTAGCTGCTCAGATACTGTAGACCGTGAATTGAACAGACAAACAAATGGTCCTAGATTGTGCAAACCAGAGTACAATTGGACAAAACTGTAATTCTGAGGTAACACACTTGAATATAGTCATGTAAAAGGGATTTCTCTAGGTCTGTCCGCCATCACACAGTGGGTTGTCCCACCAGGACACTGAACAGGTGGAGGAGTTGGGGGAGGTTTTCAGGGCCGCGAAGAGGCCGACTGTCTCATTATGATTCTTGCATGTGTGCAGTTGTTGAAAAACCAGTTTGTTACCGTCACTCACATTGAGCTAAACTGTGGCAGTTTTCGCCTCATTGTTCACTCGATTATAACTTTTAGAGGGAGTCGTTTTAAGGCTAAAGCTCTAAAAATGTTGCATAGACTTTTGCTCCAAAAGTCTCATCACTAAATCCAACTTCACCTTTAGATTAGATGTAGTGAGAAATATGAGCTACCACATGAACATGCTGAGTTTCCTACATGTCAGAGGGAGCAATTCCCTCTTTGCCGGACTCACCGAGCAGGGAGATGTACGAGCGCTTTTGCCTTGAGAAAATGAAAGGACTTGTGTGGCAAAAGCAATCACTCCGAGGCAATGACTCAATGAGAAAAGGGCCCTTTGTTCGCCTGTGACAGTTTTACGCACACAATTATCTGTAAAACAGCAGCAAGTGAATCTTAATTACACTTTGGTGACTGGTTTGCCCCACTTTTAGAGCCCGAGTGTGAGATATATTTAATTATCATAATCTCGACTAAAATGGCCTATTCAGCCCAGCCAGGTTAAGGAAGGCCGGTTGAACTGGGCCCTTTGTTGACTTTTCATACGTGCCGTTTCACACTTTACATGGTTAAACTGAGGCGTGATTATTGTAAAGTGAGTGAAAGCACCGCAGTGTTTTACCAAACAGACTAAAATCTCAGTTTACGCTTCGGCCATTTTCTCACTTTCCTCATTGTACACACAGGTTTCTCGCTCTGCCGTGCAAAATAATGGTTTATTTGTTATCCAAGGGGAGGGACCAGAGTTCTATTGTTTCAGCTGTAAAGAAAGGCTTAACAACAGGAGAGGGATGACTGTGCTAGGCAGTAGTGCTTCGTTCTTTATGCAGGAATACCCCTATTGAAATGCATGAAGGTATCCTTGGTTTTGGTGAAAGCCCAACAGCACTCTGAGATTGGGCAGCCCTTGTCTCTGGGACAAAAAGTGAGGTTGTTTCTCTCTTTTGTCATTGACGCAGCCCCCCGCTTTCACTGGATTTCCTGTGGACTCCCGCCGACTGTATTGTGATGCTGGCTCTTTTTTTAACAAATGAGTGTATGATAGCGACTTCTTGCTCCCGCTCCTCTCTTTGTCATTAATATGGAACAGCACACACCCCTCGGAGAGGGCACAGAGTAGCTGCTGCCTCTCCCTGCACTTCACATGTGCAACCTGACTGGGTGGGGTGGGGGTTTCTCCTCCATATGAAAAGCCCCGGGGCCACACCCATCTCTAGCAGGGCCTGGATCTTTGTTCAAATTCTCCTTTAGAGTCATTGCTCTGTTTTAATGAATTCTTTGAGCGCTCTCCATTAACTGTGATGTTAATCCTTCGACCTCAGAGAATATTTAAGGAATACCGTGAAGGGGCCTGTGAAAAGTCAAGAGGGCGGGTGCTTATGTTGCTTTTGTTTTTGTAAATTACATTTAATGAACTTCTTTTTCTCATTAAAATGTGTATTCTAGATTAGGGGAAGACAAAGACCCTTTTCCCACCACTGACAGCAGAGCGTCAGCAGCAGGGGCT